ACAGTGTCAGCAGAGACCTTACTGCCCTCTCCCCGACCACCTCAACCAGCTCGGGACACTCGGGCCAAGCAATATCACCTCTCCAGCAGGTCCTGGATCTGACTTGGGGCCTTTTCCCTGTAGGACATGATTGGAATACCTCACAAAGAAGGCATCCAGGAGGCATGCTAGTCAGATATCCAAACCTACTCAGCTGGCTCATTTTAATGTGGAGGAGTAGCAGCTTTGCTCTGAGACCTTGTGGCTTGTGGCTAGCAGAACTCCTCATCCTTTCTCTAAGGGAGAGCCTTAGAGACAGCCCAGGCACCCGTTGGAGGAAACTCATGTCTGCTGCTTATATCCATGGTCTCATTTTTTTGGTCACTAAACAAAGCTCATGATGGATGTACATCGACTGCTTTGCTTTCACATTCATGATTACTATTACAGACCAATACAGTGTCTGCATCCTGCATCACTGCAGAAGCAGAACCAGCCCATCTGTTAATCTCTACTGGGCCCTTTTCCAGATGAGACACTTTTCAGTTTCAAACAGTTTTACAGTTTCAAAAAAAAAATTCCATTGCTATTGTTTGACCATTTTCTTTTTTAATATTATATCAGGATAATCCCCATTACCACCACTACTACAACCTTTCCCATGCATTCCTACTAGTTAAAGCCACACTTGTTGACTTCTTCATTAGGTATGCCTGTGCAATCTAGTTCAAGCAGGAAAAATTATAATTGTTCTTTATATTTATTATTAAATCCACACTGACGGCACTTGGTTGAGCTGGTGAGGCATATGCTATAAGGCTGCAAGGACCTGAGTTCACTTCCTAATAGTCTAATCCTGGGTTGACACAATTGTAACAGGAGCCGAAGTTGTGTTCGTAGCATCCAGCTATTGAAGCAGAGGAAATACCAGCACAAAGGGAGTCTTGCATATGAATCCAGGATCCATATATGAGACTCCAAATCTCAGAGTTCTCAGTGACCTCGACCTCAAGGTGGTCAGGTTTTCTTGTAAATGAGGTAACTCATTAAGCAAGTCCTGTAGGAGTTAACTTAGAAGGCTAAGGGGTAGCACTGGAGGCCACCAGTATTTTTGACAGTTTTTCTCAAGCCAGGATTTTACTGATATCTACAGACATGTAGGTGAAACTGTTGTTTGTGTGAATTTCCTGTGCTATCACAGCTCTTTCAGACTCACTTCCAAACTGGCAACACCTCATTCTCATTTTGACGTCTCCTTCGAAAATAAGCCTTATCTCTATGGCACTCTTTCTGTATTCATCACGGAGCTTGTCAGTGCCGGGCTTAAATTGTTTACTGTGTGTCACAGACTTAAGGCTGCCTCAGAACAACAGTTGGCAGTCTAATGGGAATAGGAGCAAATTGCTGTTTCGGGATAGCGGCGTTTCTTTTATCTGGAATGCTCAGTTGAAGTGCAACCTCTTGAGAACTGCCTTTTATGGGAAGTGTTGTCACTGTGCAGGTTTGGAGCTAGGAGACAGTGATTGTCATGCAGCTGCAGATAAACGTCAGCACGCTGAGCACTAGAAGAAAAATAGATGTGGCAAAAAAGCTCGTGACTTGAATGCTTGATTTAGGTTTTCGTCTCTATCGCTAACAGATGTGGACAGGTTTTCCAGAGACTTAATATTTTGAATTTAAATTTTCCTGTCTCCCCCTGTCCCCTCCTTCCACTCTGCAGGTTAATGTTTCCTTACCGGGCGCCCCCAGGGTCGCTTTCAAGCCTGACTGCTGACAGCTGACACCTCTGTCATCCTCCTGAGCGATCTAATCGATCACCTCTAGCTCGACAAGACAGCACACCAGGTTCTGCTCCGTTCTGCTGGCGGTTGAGTAGAGCAGGCTCTGTGTTGCTCTGAGCCCGGATATCTCAGCAGGACTGCATCACCATGGATACAGAGTCCACCTACTCGGGCTATTCCTACTACTCGGGGCGCTCCCGGGGATCCCACAGACATGGGTAAGTCCCGCCAGTTGGTTATTACGGTTTTTCCTGACTCTGCTTTTACGTGAAGTGTTGGTGTGGGCTGCAGGATTTCCCTCAGTAAAACATGTCTGAGCTGGTGCCTATTATGTGAAGTTGAAGTGATAGTGGATGTGATATGATTACTACTGGTTGGTTAGTAGATATAGATGTAGTAGATGTTAACAGCAAAATCAGTTTTTAGGAGATGGATAGAAGAAGCAAGGATTTTTACAGATGTCTTGGAGAGGACGGTATTACTACTTTGTCCCTGTTGGAGCCTCTGGTGGCTCAGTAAATCAGCGGATCTGTTGTACTTTCCTTTTGTGATTTTCTTTCTGACTCTCAGCATTTGTTTTCCTGTCCTGTTCTGTGTCTTTGTCCACCTCCGTAGTGTCACCTTTTGTGTATCTGTGTCTCTGGCCAAACATGTGTGGAGCCCACAGCTCCTGGAGGCGCATTAGTCTGTCAGCAGCCAAATGACTGTGGTTGACAGGCCTCAGGAAGGCAGCAGGAGACAGGTGCTGAAGAGGCCTGACTGACTGGCTCAGAGGATACATTGAGACTCAGAGAGGAGATGAGAGTAGAGAACTGGAGAACAGGATCCTGTTCCATAACAGCCCCTCCCAGGTCAATGACAGTCCCCTCCAGCTTGTTTGCCATATATCTTTTGGAGTACTTGTGCCTGCCTTTCCCACTCTAGCTGCCACCTGTTGCTGTTTAAGGGATTTGTCATGCTGTCTGCAACTTTCTGCCTCTGTCCTCTTCACACTGCACCCCCCTCAGCCCTGCCCTCCTTATCTCTTTCCTTTCATTCTCCTCATCATTAAACATTTTGCTCCCATGTGGCCAATCATGATATGAAGGCAGCAGCTGCCCCCGCTCTCTGTGATCACCCTTCTTCCCTTTTCTCCTCCCATTTTTTAAAATGTAGTCAACGCTGCTCTTTGAGGATGGGAAAGCGCAGGGATATCACTCGCTCCCTGGTTGTCTGCATTCCCCAGGGCACCAATGTGTCCTTGTAGCTCAAAGTTAAACTGAGCAAAAGTGCTCTCACTTAGCATGGAATCAAAGACAGTGGAGAGAGGTCAGTGCTTAGGAAAGTGGTGGAGACCTGTGTTCTCCTATTTCCTTTGCTGCACTCTTTCAAGTGAGTGACAGCAAATTGGAAAGAGACATATGGGCATCCCTGCCAGGCGCCATTCCGCTCCCTGCTCCTCCGGTCCTACCGTGACTGTGCCAAAGCCACCGGCTGGCCTCTAATTTAATATAGAAAAAACTAAATTGTTGCCTTTGAGGTAATCTTTTTACACCAAGGGGTGCCATGCGTGAAGCTGCTTCGGATCGCTGTCGTCTAATTACCCTGATGCCAGGAACAGATGCAAGCATGTGGGAGTGGGCTCACTACTTGTGTGCATACAACCATACAAATAACAGATAAGAACAATATCCTTATATATGGGT